CTCACATCCATGGTGTGTGGAGAGAGATCATTAATTATCTTGAAGACTAACCAAGTTAGTTGAAGTTTTCTTTTTGTACGGATCACCAAGCACTTGATATTTTTGATGTACAAGTAGCCAGTTATGATTTCGAATCGAAAAGAAACAACAACAAAAATATTGTTTAACTGCTGGTAATAATTTTTAATAAATGCAAATCAATTAAATTCGTATGTTGTTATCGTTGTTGTTTTTATGGCAAATGATTTTTGAGCTACCATAAGCAACAACTATCGGCAGTAAAACAAATTGAATATCTACAAATCATGGCTTAAATTGTAAAGAGGTAAATATTTCAAAACAATGATAAGCCATAATTTGAGGTTTTTCTGTGCGTTAGTGAAGAGTGCCCTCTTGGGCATGGAACTAAAGTGATTGAATGGAACTAGGAATAAAATTCATGGCAAAATTATTGATATTATATAATAAACAGAACGAAAATGCCTCTAACACCTTAAACATATATGTAATAATTCATGAGATATCAGCCAAATTAATATATTTTGTGGAATTTTCTGTTTTCTTTAGAGTAGAATTTTATTTTCACCATAACTCATAAACTATTAGAGATATTAGATAAATCTTAATGTAAATTATGTTCCCCTTGATTTATAACATTATAAAAGCTGGAAAATGGTGACAGTCCAGTGTTGACTTTGTCCTCAATCTGACATAGAAGACATGCCCATCCTTAGCCCTTTTTTGCGTAAGTGGTCTATTCCCAGCCAATGCCTCAATTAGGGATCAATTGTCCTAATGTTTGTTACTGCTGTATTAAGGTCATTAGGACCTTCAAAAACGTCTCTGACATCTTCAACATATCTATAATAGTTAATGAGATATCGACCGAATAAAATATATCTTTTTAATTTTCTATTTTCTTTAGTGTACAATTTTATTGACACCATAACTCCAAAACTATTATAGATTTTAATATGATCTTAAAGAAAATAATGTTCGTCCTGATATGTAAAATTAAAATCAAAAGAAAAATGAATACAACCCAAGTGTTCATTTCGTTTTAAGTCTGACAAAGAGGACATGCGTATCCCACACAGAATTTGCGTAAGTGGACTATTCGTAACCAAGACCATATTTAAGAATCAATTATTCTGAAGTTTTTACCGTAGATGGAGATCATCAGAACCTTCAAAAATGTATTTCACATCTTTTAAATATCTCTAATAGTTTACGAGATATCGACCGAACAAAATCTATCTGTGAAATATTCTGTCTTCATTTGTGTACAATCTTCTCTGAGCCATATCTTACAAAATATTGGAGTTATTGGTAAGACATCAAAAACAATTTTATGCCTCTAGATCGGTACTATGAATTAAAAACATAAAATAGGAAGAAACCTCTAAATTAAATTTATCTGCAGGATCTCTTAAATCCTGCCAATTTATCACCCATTTTGAGCATGTAACTTTTTCCCAGTCAAAACTATACTTAGGGATAAATTCTATTTATATTTGATATTACTGTATAGAGCTCTCCAGAATCTTCAAAAATGTAATTTACATCTTTACAATATCTCGAATAGTTTCCGAGATATTGATCAAGCCAATAATATTTTTGAAATATACGATCTTCACTTGAGTAACATTTTGTTTGCGCCCTATCTCACGAAATTTTTGAGATATTGACAGAAATTTAAGAGGAATTTGAGGTGTCTACTACTACTAATCACGGAAGAAAAAAGTGTTCTAATTAGAATATTTTTCGTCGTCAGGCTCATGGACAATTATTCAAATTCTTCAATTGGTTGGCGTAAATAGTTTATTTCCTTTCAATGTCATAATTATGAATGTAATTATTTTCTCATTTCTGATACTGATTAGAGCTCATCAGAGCCTACAGAAATTTCTCATATGTCTTCTCAATATCTTTAATAGTTTATGAGTTATGGACCAAAGAAAATATATTTGCGAAATATTTTGTCTCTATTTTATGAAAACTGTATTTTTACCATATCTCCAGAATTATTAAATATATAAATGATAAATTAAAGTAAATTGTATTCACCTTGCGTTGTTCTACAAAAGTGCCCAAATATCGTCTAAATATCTTTAGTAGTTTATGAGTTATTGGCCGAAAAAAATATGTTTGTGAAATATTCTTTAATTATTTGAGTAAAACTTTATTTTGACCATATCTCATGAGTTCTTACAGATATTATAGAGGCATTAAAGTAATATATGTTTATCTTGATCAGAACTATTTTCTACATAACAGATATAGAGGCATTCAGTATATATTGTGTTCCCGAATCTAATGGGAAATATTCCAAAATTTTAAGTTATTTTGCGTAAAGGATTATTTTCGAAAGAAAGATAAATTAATGAGACAATTTTCAAGACACTGATTGCTGATGCATAGAGCTTATCAAGGTTCACTAAATTGTCTTTAATATATTTCCGCTATTCGCAAAGGTTTATGAGATACCGGCTTTAATATTTTGCTTTTTGTAAATTTCATTAAATCTATCGTTGGGAACTTTGCTGTCATAATATCTCGTAAACTATTCCAGTTACCCACAACATATTAATGGTGATTTGGTACATCTTTCTTAGAAGTATCCATCTTAAAAATATCATAGATATCAGATCGTGTTATTGAATTAAAAAATATAAGAAAAAGTAATATGAACAGACAATCATTGTTTTTTAGGCTCAGATATTGTTGAATTGTTTTTAAATATTCACAATCTCTGTTTCTCTAATTTGTTTTACATTGATCTTATGCAAACTTTAGTGAAGAAATTACGTTTACAACTAGTAACCTGTAGCCAGGGGCCACTTTTATTATCATAAGTGTACTTACCATCAGCCTGTAATAAAGTGTATAGCTTTCTTCTACCACAATTTCATGATCATAATAGCTAACTGTTTCTCATTGTTTTTTACGGGAATTTCTCATCTAATCTTAGATGAGATATTACCTACTTTACTGTCATTATTGATGTCTGATAATTTATCAAATGCTGCTGGTCCAGACAGACACAAAGCCACACTTGTACATTGTACACGCCAGATGATCATGGTAATTATAACGATTACAATATATTCATGATCTCTTGCATGTACCTGGATTAGATTTCATGTTCAGTGCTTCAATCTTATTCTGCCTCACAAAAGGGAGAAAGAGCCCAGAAGTATCAAAATATTTATAAAGTCATTCATCTTGAAAACACTTGTCGTCTTGCATGGAATTTCCACCCCTTTTTCCTTTTTTTTTTTGAAAAACGGAGAAATGTGGGCAGTTATCATGTAACACGCATTCTTGATGTTTTTCTAAATGTTGTAATTACTTTTGTTGTTGTTATTGTTTATTTTGGGTGCCTTTGTGAGGTTGGGGAAACCTCACGACATTGATTTCTTGTCTCAATGGCATGTTCATGAAAGTAGAAACATTAAATCAAAAAGTACCTGCAATTGGCGCCTACAAATTCGAGATTGGATCTTTGTTTTGGACCATCATATGTGGCAGACGCCTAAACTCACGCAATTGCTGAGAGGGGTTTTTATGGTGTTGTCCTCCCCGAGTGATTAATTGTCTTTTGATGCATTTTAATTTAATTCGAATTTAGAGAAACTTGATTCGTCTTTTTCGGGCTTTCGATTTAATAGCATTTGTGAGATTAGTTTCCCATATGTCTTCGCATTACATATTTAGGTTTTTTGTTTGTTCGATTTGATTGAAATGGCCTTAGGCCAAGAAATTAACTTTCAAGTAATTATCCGACGAAATATAATAAAAATTAAATTTAAATTAGGTCAAGAAAAAGTAAATAAATTAAAACAAACAAAATAAAATGGAAGCAATGGAACTGGCGCCCAACGCAAAAGGGGCAGGTATAGACACTTAGTCCTTAAAAGAGAACAGTTCTCAAAACGTGTTTTTGAAAAATATACGGTATATATGGCGCGCAACATAAAAAAAAATAATTTTGAGCTTTAATTGCTAAACAATTTAAAAAACATCATATGCAAAGTGGCGCCCAACGTAAAAAGCAAGGCGATTTTCAGGTGTAGACGCTTTAAGGTAATACCTTCTTTAAGCTTTTTTTAGGGAATTGTGTGGTGTGTTTGGGAGGAAAAAAGGCTCTCAAAAAGAAAATCTCTGAAAACACTTTATTCTGAACTCCATTAACAAACTAGTTTAAGATCAATATTTATAGCCACGAAACTGGCACCTAATATAAAGGACAGTAACATCTTGAGGTATGGGAAGCTAATGATATTATATAACAAAAACAAAGGGTGACAAAATATGCGGGTTGTAGGAAACATGCCAATGGCGCCAAACCTAAAAAAATAATTTTGAGTTGTAATGGAAAACCATTTAAAAACATAATATGCAAAATGGCGCCCAACGTAAAAAGGCGATTTTCAGACGTTGAAGCTTTAAGGCAATATTTTCTTTAAGCCTATTTTTAAGATTATGTGGTGTGTATGGGAAGTAAAAATGACTCCCAAAAAAAAAAAAAAAATCGCTGAAAACACTTTATTCTGAACTCCAATGACAAACAAGTTTAAGAACAATATTTTAAGCTTTGAAACTGGCGCCCAATGTAAAGGACAAAAGAATTTGAAGCCATGAAACTGGCGCCAAAAGTTTCAAAAGCGAGGTGTTTTTGAAATACATATCTCATTGGCGCCCAACGTAAATATCATTTAAAGAAATTGACATATAAAGAAGTTTGATGAAATATCAAGTGTATTTTGAGTAAAAATTACTTACTTTTTTTTTCGAAATTACCTAATAAAAATATTTTAATTGAAGTTATATGGTGTTTTTCATAGGCCTATTGGCGCCCAATGGAAAAATCAAACATTTTTATTTTAAAAATTGTCAGATTATGTGCAATTTTTATTATTTGTATTGATCTACACAAAAATACATATTTTATCTCAATCAAGTGGCGCCCAACGTATTTTTTTATTTTTTGTTATATTTCCAAAGATTATGCAAACTAATTTCTAATTTTCTATCTTTTTCTATTTACTTTCAGAATTCCGTCCACTTATTGAAACCTAATCTTTGAAAAAAAAGGAAAGAAGTCCTCCCAAAAACAACCTTGAATCCTCAACTACAACAAACAAATTATCTACAAATCAATCTTATGGACAAAAGAACTAAATATGGATGTTTATTTAAAATGAAATCCTTTATTAACTAAACAAAAGAGACAAGAAAAAAACAAGTAATTCTAATTTCTTGGCATAGTTTGCATATGGCCCACAAAAACTATTGACTTTTAGAGAAGACCCATAAAAAAAAAAAAAAAAAAAAAATCCCAAAACCCCTTTTACAACAAAAACAAAAATTACAAATATATATTTTGAAAAAAAGAGAACCTAAAATCAAGCAATAAAACTGGCCCTTGTAGCCGTGGCAAATACTCCAACAACAACACCCACAACCATAACAATACAACAATTTCATTCTAACAAAATCAACATTACGCAAATGACTGAATCAACACAGCTACAAACAGCAGAGAATAATAACGCAGGCGTTGTTAAAATGGAACCATTACCGCCTGCCACAACAGCATCAACAGCAAATACCACATTGGCCACATCGCCAGCACCTTCATCGGTAATGGATCAACAGCAACAACAACAACAGCAGCAGCAACAACAACAGCAATTGGCTGCCGCAGCAGCAGCCGCTGCAGTAGCAACCCAACAACTTCAACAACAAACAGCTTCTCTATTAAGTGCAACACAACAACTGCACCAGCAACAACAATATGCTTTAAAATGGAATGATTACCAAACATCAATGCTAAGCTCATTCCGCCATCTGCGCGATGAAGAAGATTTCGTCGATGTGACACTGGCCTGTGATGAACGCTCGTTCACGGCTCACAAAGTTGTGCTGAGTGCCTGCAGTCCCTACTTTCGTAAATTGCTAAAGGCCAATCCCTGTGAACATCCCATTATTATATTGCGTGATGTACCCGCAGATGATGTGGAAAATCTATTAAGGTAAGTTGGGGGGGCACAATTTTTCAAGAAGAGAGGCTCTTTTTTGAGGGAAAATCACACATCGCACACCTATATTATTATTTCTAGAGTAGATCTTTTTTCCTCAAGCATATCGAAAAAAGTTGTAGTAAAATGGCGCCCAATATGAAACTATTTTTAGAAAATTCGACAAAATTATTAATGGAAACAATCAACGAGGTCCTATGTTGCATTAAAATAGCGTCCAACGCTATTTCACATTCCATTTTAATTAATTATAATTCATCCAAAAGCTTTCTTAAAAAAAAAGATTGAATCTGAAAATGGCGCCCAACGTTAAAGGCAATCCGATTTCCAATTGTAGGGATGGAAACAAGTATTTTTTCAAAGAATATAATTTTTCTTATTTCCATTTTATTTAATTAATCATCATCCTGAATTTTTTTTAGCAAATGATAAATCAAATATGTATCATGGAATTTTGCGCCCAACGCCCAGTTAATCAAGTCTTGGCAATTTTTTTTTTTTTGAACATGGAAATGAAATCTAAAGAACTGAAACTGACGCCCAGCGTAGCGATTAGAGATCACATTATTTTGTCGAAAACTAGGTAAAACTCATTCTCAAAATTCGCTAATAGATGGAAAATCTAGATTTGGCGCCCAACGTAAATTTTGAATATTATTCACTTTTGCTAAAAATTATGGCAATGGAAAAATCAATTCTAAAACACTGTAATTTTGGTCCAAAGATTAATATTTGTCTTTTTGAAATTGCTTTATTTATTGTAAACCTCTATTTGGCGCCCAACGTAATAAATACTTTATAAAGATCGGGTTAAATTTGGTAAAAACTTCCTTCAAAACTGAAGAATTGAATCTGAAATAATTGGCTCCCGTTCTTAAAAACATTCGTTAATTCAGAAACATTAAAATTAATTCATAAAAGTTAAAAATTACACTGAAATTGAATTTGGCGCCCAAATTAAAAGTCTGCCACACATCCATTGGTGAAAATAAATATTTATCAAGAAAAAATGAATACTCCGAATTGGCGCCCAATCTAAAATTCTAATTTATTTGAGAAAATGGCTTCCAAAGCGGGAGATCTCTAAGGGGTTTTAACAATACCACCTATGGCCTCTTATCACAGTTTTATTCTTATTAAGCCCTCTCGAAATAAGACAATAAAGATTCATCTCACAGAATTTTTATCCTCAAGTCCTCACAGAACATTTTTTGGGATAAAGTTTTATAAAAACCTAGATTAGTTCTTGTATGTCTAAAAATCGAAATATTTCAGGTTATTAATGTATTTTTATTTATACTTTTGTTTCCAAATTTGTTATTGAAATGTTGTTTCCTTCCCTCTTTTCTCCTCCCCTCCAGCTTTATGTACAATGGCGAAGTGAATGTCGGACATGAACATTTACCGGAATTCCTTAAAACCGCTCATCTACTACAGATACGTGGTCTGGCGGATGTCAATGGCGGTGGTGTCAATCCTTTTGCCAGTTCAGCAGCGGCGGCAGCAGCAACAACATTAAATCCAGTGGCAAAAACGCTTAGCAATGCATTGAGCACTAATCTGTCGGGTAGCACGAATAAATTAAATTTTCTAACAGCTGCCACCCAGGCATTGAGTCAAAATGCCAATTCACCATTTACGACACCGTCACTGGCAACGAGTACGCCACTCAATAATCTATTAAATAGCGGAGCCAGCAACAACACAACAAATAACAACAACAACACCAACACCAATAACAACAGTAATGCCAATAGCAACAACACAAATAACAACAACAACAACAGCAGCAGCAACAATAACAACAGTCATAATAATAACAATAATAACAACAACAATAACAGCAGCAGCAGTAGTAACAATGGAAAAACACCTGCCATACAGGAATTGAAAGCTTCCTCAGCGTCTCCCGTAAGAAAATCAAATAACAATAAAGTAAAGTAGACAAGGCCAAGCCCAAAATGAAAAAAAATATACAAGGAGTTGTCCTGATCTGCTCTATGGAGTTTTACTGATGTTGAATTTTTTTTCTCTTTTTCCCCTTTGTTTTTTTTTTATTTTGTGTCCTGTAGGCCAACAACTGGGATCACTCAGATTCGGATAGCAATCGCAACAACCACTTGACCCCTCCACCCCAGAAAAGAATCAAAAGTGCCGATTTGTTTCGTGCCCAACACGGCATTAGCCCTGAACGTCTATTGATTGATCGTGACTTCCCCGTTGCTGGCCAACACCCCTTGACCCGTAATCGTGATCGCAGCCGTGAAACATCGCGTGACCGTGATCGTGAAATGCGTGAATCGTTGCTGGGTCAGGCTTTGGAAAATTCAAATGGTTTACAGGTGAGTATGGCATATAAGAATTGCGAAATATTTTTTTGGATTTTTAGAACTTTCAAAGATTGGCGTTGAAAAGCAAACACCTGATAAGTTATGGATTAGGGAAAGAATATTAAAATATAGGATCTGTAAAAATCTGAAATTATTAAAGATTCATCTGAATGTTTCGAAACATTTTATGCCATATTGTGGTACAGGGTCTTACGTCTTGGGCATTTTTTTGTAAACTGCCGAAGGACACGAAATTGACCCATACTTTCTTTTGATGATCTCCATAGAATTGCATTCTGAGTCGGTTTTTTGCATGTCCGGCCATCTGCCTGATCGTAATGATCTCATTTATTGTCCGATGGAGCTGAAATAATCTGATAGGGCCAAAACATGACTCATCAATATAAAGATTTTAGACCCTAAGTCTCTTTGGACCATATCCGTTTCGATCTAGGGGTGTCCCTCCGTTTGTCTTGCTGGCTGGTGCGCATAAAAACTCTCAAAGGGATTATCCGATATTCTATTCTAATGCAATACCTTTGAAAAATAAATGGCGCCCAACGTAAACACATTTTATAAAAAGCAGCGTCAAAAATAATTAGAAAAAACATATATCTTATAAAAATCTACTTATCTAAGGTTTAATTATACTATGCAAAGTAATAAAACTTGAGACACTGCTATTGGCGCCCAACGTAAAAGACAACCAGATCGCGCATTTTAGACATTGATGTGAAGTAACCATGAAGCTTATAAATCGCAAAATGATTTCTATCAAACTCGGCATTTCTATCAACACAAGATTTGGTGAGAAGATGGAATATATCGGCCCACTCCTTCTGATACCTCCGCCATTAGGGGATTTAAATTTTGAATTGTTAAAATGCTCATAAAATGCGAAATAAGCACCTGATTCTTTCTGAACTTTACGTATTCCAATATTTTGACATTCAGTAGACCTGGTGTGGAGATGGAATATATCGGACCACTCCTTCTGGTACCTCCTCCACAAAGCGTCAAAATTCTGAATAATTATAACTTCAAATGTCTCACATCCCAATATTTTTTTAAATACAAGATCTGGTCTGAAGATGGTGGTTATCGGCCCACCCCTTCTGGCACCCCTCCCACGACGGGTCAAAATTCTGAATAATTATAACGTCTATACAATTCGAAATAAGTATCCGATTCTCTTCAAATTTCACACTTTTCAATATTTTTATAAATACAAGATCTGGTGTGAAGATGGTTGTTGTCATTCCACCCCTTCTGACCCCAACGGGTCAAAATTTCGAATAATTATAACCCTCATAACTTGCGAAATAAGCATTTGATTCTCATCAAATTTCACACATCCCAATATTTTTATACCCCTTCTGGTACATCCCCCACAATGGGTAAAAATTTTTAATAAATATAACCCTCATAGCTTGCGAAATAAGTAAGCCATATTTTTCAAACTTGCTAGGTCCGATGTGAATATGGAATTTATCGGCACACTCACTCTGGTACCTGCCCCACAAAAGGTTAAGATGTCAATTAACAATTATTCACCTGAAATTTAAAAAAAATGTTCGATCCTCTTTAAAATTTTGCCCTTCCTAATATTTTTATAAGTATTAGATGAATTTATTATTTTTTTTTTATTCCAAAGCGTTTTTATATTCCGCATAGATTTTTAAAATATTTTAAAATTTCTTTCTTTCAATTTAACAATTACATTTTTTCTCGTTTCTCACCCTCTCTCTCTCTCTTAGAAACAACACAATGACATGGGCTCTCTACACGGTCAAAGTGCATGCGACGATTCGAACAGCTCCGACACTGAACCCTCAGATCGTGGCGATGGACAAAATGATGGTACAATGGATTCCATGGACAATCAACGTTCGCATTCCTTCCCCAATGCATTTTTGGGTTTGCAGGGCATACCTGGCCTACTGCCAGGACCCTCGGGCATGGGTGGTGATTTCGGTAAGTCCACAAGTTTTGCTCTCTTTCTCTCATTTTCTTTTCTTTTAATTTATTTCGTTTCAATATAAAATCAAATACATAAATGTATTTTTTTTTCTATCATATCTAACTATCCAGCATTTGTATTGGCAACAAAAACAAATAAAACTTTCATAATTCTTATATTTTCAATTGTTTTTTCTATTTATCTACATATATTTACATACTATATACAACATTTATATATATTGAATATATTTGCCTCTTGATGTTATGTTGACAAAATTCTCTCTCTCTCAAAAAACAAACAATCAAAAATCATACATAACCAAATCAAAAAAAAAAAAAAAAAAAAATGGATTATTTCAAATTCAGTACATAAAAAAAATTGAAACAAAAATCACCAAAAAATCAGTTACAAACAATTGGAAATTTTTAACTTTTTTTGCATTTTAAAAATATCAATTAAATCAAACTATATGACAAATCATTAATGCAATACATAATGAATCAGAAACTAAGCATGTAGTAACAAAACATAAACAAATATCAGAAAATAAATTAAATAATGGCAAATGGTTAAAAGAAGATAAATTACAACAATTGGCGCAAACTAGATGTGAGTAATTGAAATTCGAATTAAAAATTAAGGAAAAAAAAATAATGTTTGCCATTATACAACAAATATAAAATAATCATTATTTTTTAAGTTAATAGTTATAGCAACTAAATGTTATGCTTGCCCTTTTTTAAGTTTTATTTAAAAAAATATTTATTTTTTTTTTTTTATTGTTATGGAAAATCCTTTGAGTAAGAAACCAAGTAAAAACTGTTCTATGTAATATCGAGGGCTAATAAAAATTATTTTTAACTATACCATTAACACCAGCAAAAATTACTCGGACGTGATCTACATTACCAATCCCGTGCAGCACCCAATAAAAATCCGTAATGAAATCTAATAAAAAACTCAATTTCTATTTCGCATCGTAGAAAGGACATTCGTTTGTCATTGAAAACTACTTGAAAACAACCATGGAAGAAATTACGTTTATGTTTATTACACACATCATATTGAACACCCATACATACTCACACTCACACACACACACATTTTTTTGGTGTGTAATTTTCATAACAAGAACAATAATCATCGAAATCATCACCATCATCGAAGACATTTGGTGAATGCGAGTATTTGAAAAGCAATTTCTTTGCTGGCCGGCCATCGTAATGCCAGCATCAAGTGATGACACACTGAATATTATTCTCTAAATGGTCATATTTATCATTAAATTATATCCTTATGTCGTTTTTCGGCTTCCCCTTCTTGGAAGGGATATTTAGTCGATATGGTTTTTTTTGGTGGCTCTTAATATTCAATACACATCTATTTAAAGTGACCATACGTTTTATGAGTAATAACATCTTATGACAATAGCCAAAAACAAAAACAAAAAACGAAGTTGGCATTCGTGTTTTTTTTTTCTTGGTCCTTTGTCCATCTGTGCGTGTTAGGTGGTTGTTTTTTTTTCATAGCTTGGGGGGTTGTTGTTAGCTGGCTGCCTGGCTGATTCCAAACCATCAATGATGACATGCTGTTTTTTATTTATATACGTATATGTGTAACGTGTATACAGATCGATTCCAACCATGCCATGTCGCTTGTTTATTCCTTGAAGCCAGAAATGTTGTGTGTGTGTATGTTCCTCTAATCATCATCTATAAACATTCAATATCTATGCTTATGTCCTGTTAACGGCCATTAGCATGTGTATGCCACATACACATCCTTTATGGTCATTACAACCCAAAAAAAAAAAAAACAACAACAACAACTGTAACAAGAAAAAAATTCCCAACAATAGCATCATTTGTAATTCAAACAACAGTTAAGGACATTAAATGAAGGTTGTTGTCGTTTTTTTGCCTATTTGGGATTATGTGAAATAGTCAAATATTTTTTTCGAACAACCCCACCCCTCCCCCTCCTAAAAATATACACAATGTTTTAATAATATTTTCGGGGAATGAAATATATTAGCATTATGTGACAAGTGTTCAATTTGCATAATATTGCCCAGAAGTATGCAATGGATAATGCATTAGTCATAAAAAGCTCCGAATGGTCTTTCAAATATCTTATGCCTAAAATGTCTCGAAAAAACAAAGTTACATCTCTAGGTCTTTGACATACAGTACAAGTATTGTTGATTTTCTATAAAAAAAAAAACATCTTAGAAAAGACCTTGGCATGGACGTCTTATACCAAAACCATAAGACCCCGATGTCTTCTACAGACAATAAGGACAGAAAATTCCTAGGATATCTGTAGACAAAAGAGGACTTTAGTACTCACATAGGCAATAAAAATTTCCTAAAATTAATGTATATCCTCTAAGTCTACCTTAGACGATAGGAAAAACTTTTTATAATAGAAGGTCCCCAGGTCTTCTTTAGAAAATAGCAAAGCTCAAGGATTTAAACCAGTAAAGAAAGATCAAAAGTATGGGGCGGGACTGATTTCATGATAACCTACACCACCAAAGGGATCATACTAACTATGAACCTTTATTGAATGCGAATTATGGTTTAGGGTTATAATTTGGAATTAGGGGAAACTAATATATGGAGGGCATATCCAAATATGAATCGATCTCCAGCAAATTTGACGAAGTCATTTGTAACTTTCACCAAATAGCATTGCATGATATGACTTCAAGTAGGAAATCCGAAATCCATCCAATTTGGACAAATATTAACATATGGCGCCCAATCAAATTGAAAACAGCTGGTAGCTGTATCCAAATTTTTACCGATCTCGATCGAAATTTGGCAGAGGAATTTCTGTACTGTATCTGATATCTGGTACCGAATATCAATATGAGAGACTTAAACACCAAATTGGAGGAGTCATGGAAGCTATATCTGTACCGATTTTCACTAAATTCGAAGTACTTCCTTCTAGGCTGAATTTGGTCGTGTGTGCCGAAATGCACCCAATTCGGACGAATGTCACACATATGGCGCCCAATAAAATTGAAATCACAAGAAGATATAGAGAGATATAGATATGAGAGCTATATCTAAATTTGGACCGATTTTCACCAAATTTCAAGTATTTACCCGTAGGCTGAATTCGTACCGATGTGCCTAAATGCACTCCCTTTGGGCTGATATTAACCATTTGGTGCAGAAAAACCATGAAATCGGATGAAAATATATGTATGAAAGCTATATCCAAATCTGAACCGATCTCAATAAAATTGGGCAGAGGTATTTCTGAGCTGCATCTGATATCTGGTACTCATCTATCATTGTTGTAGAGTAAATATATGACGAATGTGAAGCATAGATATTACGCACTTGTACAAATATTACACAGATGGCGCCCAATAAAATTGAAATCGCAATTTGGTCCGATTCTCATCAATTTCAATCGGGTTCTTCCTTGGGTCAAAGAAATGATTTGGAGAAAATTTAGTCTCAATTGGACAATAAATGCCACCTGTACTTTCATTATAAAAATACTTGGACAGACGGACGGATGGACATTATTCTTTAGAAAAAAGTTAAAAAGCCCACGCTTAGAATGCCCGTAAAATATGTTGTTGAAAAAACTAGATTTACCCTAAGAAGGCAGGGAATACCTAGGTTTCGGAAAGAGCCATCAATCCTCATCAGTTCCCCTGTGTTTTGTCTGGGATATTGGGAAAACAAGGGAACTGATGAGGATTGATGGCTCTTTCCGAAACCTAGGTATTCCCTGCCTTCTTAGGGTAAATCTATTTTTTTCAACAACATATTTTACCGGCATTTTAATCGTGGGCTTTTTAACTTTTTTCTAAAGAATAATGTCCATCCGTCCGTCTGTCCAAGACGGAAACCTAGATATTTCCTGCCTTACCCACTGGTAAATATTACCATCGTTCTCTACTAATACGCAAACGTTGTTTTTATAAAAACAACAATAAAGGGATTAAGCCTGGTATCCCGAACAAACAAGCCAACACAAAATCCCCGATTTTTTTCGTGGATTCTCAGAAAATATTCTTTTAAAATCAAGGATTATTGCTCAGATGTCCTCCTAAAAAAAATGGGAGTCTGAACTGTAAACTCGTAGAGAAAGAGAGGGTGAGAGAAAAAGGTGGGGGGGGGGGGTTGTAGAGTTCTGAGAGTATTACAAAATTAACATTTTATTATTTTTGCCCTTTTCTCAAAACTCCCCCAACTCTTCCCCTCCTCCCCTTTCCCTTAGCATAGCAAATCCTGCTTAATAATAATGCACATTTACACATATGCTACAATGCCATTTGTGCTATCTACTACTCTGCTCTGATTTTCCAATTGTTATTTCACATGACAAAACAAACGAACGCCGGAGCGAATTGAAAAAAAAAACTAATATTTTCTTTTGAATTTTAATATGTTTTCTTGGACATATCTTGAGATTGAGACCAATACAAAACTGAAAGATAAACCCCCCTACCCAAAAGAAATAAAGGACAAACCCGAAAAGGGCCACATAAGTCATGAACATTTTTAAAATTAAAATAAATTGTGAGCAGAGACAACACATGATGGTAGTCTCACACGTTTGCTGGAGCAGTGGCAGCCAGGACCCTGATAAAAATACAAAACTAAAGGTTGTGAGTTTGTGTGTTTTTTGCAAACCACAACAATGACACACACACACACACACAACCACAAAACGAACAAAAACACACAAAAAAGATTGACAGTAAATAAATAAGAAAAATTGTCATGAACGATTGAGAAACATTACCAAGAACCAACAAAAAGGGGGAGGGAGGTTGGCCAGGCTGCAGACCAAAACAAATAAAACTTGATTTTTTTTCTATTTTCTCTATACGAATGCATGTGTATGTGTGTGCCTAAGATAAATACCAGTTTTCTTAAGTACAGAATATGGGCTTTGCCAAAACTTGGTTTTCTGTTGTCTTTTTTTTCGAATGTATGGCCATTCTGCCTATGAAAACAAGACCGAACCACCGACCGAT